TTTTTATTCACAAACAGAAGTTACTTCATATTTTTCTCCTTTTCAAAACATGTTTATTTCACACTACACATTTGTCAGCCACATTTATTTCATAACCAATTGTCTTTCAGATACAACTTATTTCATACCATCTTCTTACTTCAGCTGATATCTTACCATTAGTATCTGATCAGAACCACCCACATGTATATAAAGAATACTCTTTCCCACTTACTTTGTTCCCCATGCTTGCATTAGAGAAGTAAACAGATAATTACTTAGCAGACATCACTTACTAGTAGTTACCAGAAGTAATTATTATTGATTTTCCCCCAGAAGATAAGAAATTGAACCCAGAAACCATTACCCCCCAGAGCCTCATCCTTACCAGAATCCCCCACATCATCAATCTCTCAGCAGGTGACTTGTACAAGACATCAGTAATAAATCTCATACTAAGATTACCCACAGAAATAGCCACACCTTTTCTTTAATTCTTAGTGTAACTCTCTCCCAAGCCTTGACAAGAGGGCAGCTTCATCAGCATCCAAGTCTTCAACTCACATTTACCCCTGTGTAGTTGATGTTGTTCTTTTCCCCTCTAAGCTCTTTTCTTTAGCTTGAAAAGTTCCACAGCGGGTGTCAACATTTGCGGTAAAAAGGGGTGCGGGTGCAGGTGTCAACATTTGTGGTAAAAAAAGGCAGGTACCCGGGTACCTGCCTTACACCCGCCCTGGGAATGCTTCCCCTGAAGAATTTAATTTATCATTGGTGGTCCAACACTCCCTTTTTTGGGTGTGTTGGGCTGCACAAAGGTGTCAGCAACCCATGTAGGACACCAGCTGGTGTCCTACATGTGTTGCTGAACTAATTTGGTTGCTTCGGCCTTTGAGATGGTGTACAGTCTTGATGACTGGAGGAATCCCTCCAGTCATACAGACGGTGTACAGTCTTCATGACTGGAGGAATCCCTCCAGTCATACAGATGGTGTACAGTCTTGATGACTGGAGGAATCCCTCCAGTCATAAAGACGGTGTAAAGTCTTCATCAATGGAAATTGAATAAGGCAAATGAGGCCAAGCAAAAGGGTCAAGCTAAAGATAGATCAGAGAGAAGTTAAATTTCAAATTGGTGATAGAATAATTTGTTTTTCTTCATTTCTTTATTTTTATTTTATTCTTACTCATATAACTATAAGTGAATATCAATCTTATATTTACCAAGTCATGCAGAAATTCAAGGGTGAGATTTCTGGGTATATTTGCCTGCAAAAATGTGCCAGGTACCCGGCGCAGGTACCTGGGTACCCGCCCTGGCGGCCCTAGCAGGTGCGGGTGCAGGTACGGGTGTCAAAAATGTTGGATTTTTGAGGCAGGTACCCGGGTATTGATCGACATCTCTATCCTCTATAATCAGATTGAGTTCAAGTTATGTTGGGTTTTCTCCTTTTGAAGCAAATAACCACTGTGCTGTGCCTTGAACATAGCAGAACCTGTGTAGAAATACCTGTTTTAGACAGTGGTACTGACCACAGCATGCAAACCTTGGGTTCAGGTTTGGTAGTACCTTCAAGTTAACCAGGTCTTGGGAATAGGAAATTAGATGACATGCCATGTGGTCCTTGAATTGGTCATTCTTCAAAATCCAGGAGTGATCCACTCCTAGTTCAACATTTATTGGCCACTATAATGGCTGTGATCTTTTTGATAAGAACCCAAAAAAATAAGGAAGCAGAATCAACTAAGTGCAAAAACAACTTTCGTGACTTCTGGGAAGCATAGTGTGGGTGAGTTTAAAGAAGTAAAAAAAAAATAGGAAAACTGTCTTTCTATAATTGTGACTTATTGATTTTCTTTTGAACAATTGGCAAGACAGATCTCAAAAGCAGAAGGTCCAATGGATATATTGGTGATGAAATTGTCTCACATAGTGTAGGTTCTTGGAAAACGTGATGATTTTACAAGTAGTTTTCGTTGGAGACATAAGCTGGAAAGAAAAATTCAAAGCAACTGTTCTATGAACCGCCTGTTAAATTACCTTCCTTGTAACAGTAGCGTTTCTATCGAGCTCGCAGCGTCGGCATGTAGGTAAATTCTTCTTGACGCGGTTTGTCTCTTCGGAATGCTCGCTCATTCTGGAACCTGGTCATTACTTTTCATTTCAGTATTTGACGTTGCAGCTTTTACCGTTGACTTTGACTTGTTAGGTCCGCTCAGAGTGCTTTGGCGACGCTGACGAAAGTGGGCTAATTCAGCCTTGGCAATTTGAACCAATTCCTTATTGGAGACAGTACTGGCACCTCCGGGCCGTTCGTCGATCCTTTTGCAGATGTTCACAAAAGGTGGTCTATCAAGTTCGGGGAGCGAAAGATGAAAAAGGAGGCCTTTGAAGGATTCCTGAGTGAGCTCAAAACCTGATACGAATAGTGTGTCGACTAGAGTTTCGACCTTCCGGAAATGACTATCGATCTCGGCCGTCCTGTCATGCAAGTCAAATTTCGTTCGCAAGAGCTCTTTCATCAACCTGATGTGCCCACTTCGGCTCTTCAACGTATAGAGTTTCTGAATCTTAGCAAAGGCCAACATTCCAGATTTAGCTTTGAGAACAGTTAGCAGAAGCGCATTGTCAACCGAAGCCGTGATCGCTTGTTTGATCATGAGATCCTCTGCGGCGCTTATCGTGTGTCCTGGCGAAGTCAAGATTTCTGCCTTCCCGGTAGCCATTCCCAAAACACTCTCCAGCACCGTGAGCCATTCTTCGTAATTGCTTCCATCCACGTCCAGCTTTGTAACAAATTCAAGCATCTTGAGCATCGCTGCTGGGTCGTACTGTTTCACCGTCAGCGTGCTGACTTCTGCGGCATAGATATTTTCGAACTCAGACACGTCTTTCAGGATTTCTTCCCCCGTGAACGGTGCTTGAGCTTTGCCATCTTGGATGGTAAACAGCTTGATTTTTCGAGATGAGTTTTTTGAAAATGTGACCATCGTCGAAAGTTTATCAGCTACGGCATTCATCGTTGAAGTCATTGGCATCAAGAGTGAGTATTTCCCCTGCGGTAGGACGATTTAAAGCAAGCCATTGTAGTCTCAACAAATACTTTCAGGATAACATAATTTCTGGGCACGAATAGACTGAAAGCATCTTGGAACCCACTTCTTCCCGGTCTGCAGCACCTGTCCAGGTTACTTTCACCATCCGCTTCTGTTCAGCCTCTCCAGTCGGCGGATCCAATAGTTCATAAAATAAGATGTTATTCCATTCGCTGCTACTGTAGCTCGAATCGTCCTTTGCTGACTTGATCATGTCAGTCACAGTGATGACTTCTTGGGTAATTGGCCAGGAGGTGCTAAGTACACGCTGTCGATGAATAACGCTCTCGGGAATACCTTTGAGACTACCGGTGAATCGGATGTGTTCGGGACTGTGATTCAGTTTTGCTGAGACTTCTTTGGTCATCTGATCATACGTAGATTTCTCGCTGAGAACCAAGGAAAACTCGATAGTCGAATCCATGGCACTATGGCGAGGTTTAAAATGAACCATAACTCGGTTTTCCAAAAACTCGTAAAATTCCACTATATCGGCGTGGAGCTTCTTTCTTTTCAACTCGGCAAGCCTTCGATTCGAAGGGGCCAGAGGGGAGAGAACAGTTAATTGAATATTATCACCCGGATTGAACCAATCGATAGAACTGACTGTTGTTCGGAAGGTTCAACCTGAAAGCAAAAGATGTCCCCATCATTGAGATCGCCATACGTGTAGCTAGACGTAAAATTCTCCAGGTTTGTGTTCTCAGACCCTGTCGCCTATCAGTCGAAAGATACAGGGATATAAAAACATGAAGTCCAGCCATTAGAAGTGAGGTCTAAGTTTTGAGGTGTGCAGTCGACTCCATAGGATTCCCCATCTTCTTATTTTCTTGCCCCCTGAAGAAATATTCACAAACAGTAAAAGTATCTGGGAACAGTTCTCTTGAGCGAGTCGGAGGCGAGTTTCCACGGACCTCCTTGTAAAGTAATAGATGCGCATTTTGGGGGAGGTTTATACGAGTCCTGATGAGAGTGGCCAAGTTTGCTGTCCCTTGATTCTCAACATAAAAGTGACCGATCCCACCTAATTTCTGATTTAAAACATCAAAATGCTTGACAAAGATCATTCTCCTCTGTTTCCTAGACTCGGCGGACAGTGCCTCGTGGACCGGATCGAGCACTTCAAGATATAATATGAGATCATAAGTTTTCGAAGCCATCTCGCGGCTTACGTCTTCCATTGCTATCGTACACAGTTCCAAGACCAACAAATTCAATCTGAGTTATAAGGGTAATAACATTTCTGATATTGCTCTCTGACTCACTTAGGTCAGCATCACTCTCTGGCACCGCTTTGTTTAGCCGGATGGTTTCACCCTCGAGATGTCGAGTGCTTCTTGAGTTGAAGGAAAGGTGATGATGGTCGGGTGACGCCCGGGCCGGGCGTCCGATCACGGGCTGCCGAACCCGTGCCGATTTGGGCCGGGCTCCTACATGTGTCCAGTAAAAAACACATCATGGCCCGGCCCATTCCCGAGCAAATAGTGCGGACCGCCGTGGACTGTATCGTGTATGACGAGCTTTGCACCTGGCAAGCTGGCAATGTTGAGGGATCACTTTTGGCAAACTGGGGTACAGAAACCAGTTGTCAAGATAAATTTCTCCCAGCAACAAGCTGGTCACAATGCATCAGGGTGGGTGGTAGTCACATCATTGCACACATTGTAGGTTCTTGGAGAACTTGACTGATTTAACAATTGGTTATCTTTGGAGAGTGTCTAAATGTACAAGTAGAATTGCAAAATTTTACATTTTGACAAATGCGGCAGTTTGCCACTGGCATAGGTTTGAGAGAAGGAAATATAACCTTCTTCGACAATCATCAGCATTTCTGTCGACATTGCGGTGTGGGCCCTGTAGATGGATTCTTCATCTAGTCAGGATTTGTCTCTTCAAGAATGTACTGGAACTCGTGCTCACTCATTCTGAAATCTTGACATTACTTTACATTTCGCGGTTTGTAGTTGGACCTTTTTCCGTTGACTTACTTGGTCCGCTCAGAGTGCTTTGGCGACGCTGCCGAAAGTGGGCTAATTCGGCCTGAGCTATTTGAACTAATTCTTTATTTGAAACAGTACAAGCACCTCCGGGTCGCTCGTCAATCCTCTTGCAGATGTTCACAAATGGTTGGGCATCAAGTTCGGGCAGTGAAAGATGGAACAGGAGTCCTTTGAAAGATTCATGGGTGAGCTGAAAACCTGATTCAAACAGCGTTTCGACTAGATCCTCGACCCTACGGAAATGGCTTTCGACACCGACCGTTCCATCGTTCATGTCGAATTTCGTCCGCAAGATCTCTTTCATTAATCTGATGTGCCCACTTCGACTTTTCAACGTGTAGAGCTTCTGAATCTCGGCGAAGGCCACCATTCCAGATTCTGCTTCGAGGACTGTCGATACAAGTGCACTATCAACCGAAGCCGTGATCGCTTGTTTGATCATGAGGTCCTCTGCAGCACCTATCGTATGCCCTGGCGAAGTTAGGATTCCCGCCTTCCCTGTAGCCATTCCTAAAACACTCTCTAACGCCTTTAACCACTGTTGGTAGTTTCTTCCATCGACGTTCAGCTTTGTAACAAATTCAAGCATCTTGAGCATCGCAGCCGGGTCGTACTGTTTTACCGTCATCGTGCTGACTTCTGCGGCGTAGATATTTTCGACGTCGAGTACGTCTTTCAAAATTTCTTCCCCTGTAAACGGTACTTGAATCTTGCCGTCTTTGATGGTAAAAAGCTTGATTTTTCGGGACGAATTTTTAGAAAATGTGACCATCGTCGACAGCTTATCAGCTACGGCGTTCATCGATGAAGTCTTTGGCATCAAAAGTGAATATTTTCCCTGCGGTAGATCAATTTATAGCAAGCCGTTGAAGTCTTAGCACATAACTTCAGGAAAACAGCATTTCTAGCCACGAAAAGACTAAAAGCAATTCAAGACTCACTTCTTCCCGGTCGTCAGCACCGGTCCAGGTTACTTTCAACATCCGCTTCTGTTGAACCTCGCCAGTAGGCAGATCCAATAGCTCATAGAACAAGATGTTATTCAAGTCGCTGCTGCTGTAGCTCGGGTAGCCCGAATTTTGATTTGGTGTCTCAATCATATCAGCCACAGTGATGACTTTCTGGGAAGATGTCCAGCAGGTGCTCGGGACACGCTGTCCATGAATGACGTTCTGGGGAAAGCCCTTGAGACTACCAGTGAATCGAAGGTTTTCGGGACTATGATTAAGTTTTGCTGAGACTAATTTGGACATCTGTTCATAGGTATCTTTCTTGCTGAGAACCAAGGAAAACTCGATAGTCGCAGACATTGCCTCATGACGAGGTTTGAAGTGAACGAGAACGCGGTTTTCCAAGAAGTTGTAAAATTCCACTACATCGACATAGAGCTTTTTTCTCTTCAACTCTGCAATACTTAGATTCACAGGGCGAAAGGGGAGAGTGTTGTTAAATTCAATGATATCACCGGGGATCAAATGGTAAAACTGACTCTGAATCGGAAAGTTCAACTTGAAAGCAAAAGATGTCCCCATTTCGTATTGGGTCAGAGGAGTACACCTTGGGGTTATCCACGTTTGTCTTCCCAGGACCTAATTCCTATCAGATGAAAGAGCATGGGTGTAAAAATGTGAGTTATGCCAATTTGACATGACGATTAGATTTTAGCGGTGCACAGTCGACTCCTGCATGGATGTGGAATTATTTACATTTTCGTTCTCAAAACAAGAGGCCGTGAGTTTATAGGAGCCGACTGTGCCGCCCACAAATAAACCTGGACATTGATATACAAACCTTGTAAACCTGTAGTTTTGCATTTGAAGGAAGATTCATGCGGTTTTTGATGAGGGGGTCCAAAGATCCTCGACTCTGAACATGAAAGTGACCAATTCCAACCAATTTCTGATTTTTAGCATCAAAATGTTTGACAAAGACCATCTTATGAGACTCCTTGATTTGACCAGACCGTGCCTCATGTACCCGGTCGAGTACTTCAAGGTAGAATATGAGGGTTTTCGGGCTGGAAGCCTGTCGGGAATTCATGACATCCTGCATTGCTGAAGTAATCGGTTGCAAGATCAACGACTTGCATTTTGAGTTTCAGCAGTGATGACAGTTCTGGACTTTGATCTGTGACTAACTCAATTCCGGATCACTTTCTGGTACTGCTTTGATTAGCCGTGTGGTAGTGGCCTCACGCAGGTAGTCGCAATGACGTTGGTATGCCAATGTCCAAAGACGGAAGCAATTAGGCGAGTGACCAAGGCTCTGAGCAAGTCGAGATTTAAAATTTAAGAACGGTTCAGTTTTGAGGACTGTGAGAGTCAAAAGTTGCGAGGGAGGCATTGTCTTGTCATCCAACAAGGCCATATCAAATCCTTGATGTTGTCGAAAGGTTTCATCTGTGATGATCTATAAAGATGTACCAGGGAGGGTTAGTCGTCAGTCATTTCCCATTGACCAGTCAACGCACTGCTATGATGACTGGTTGAGCATACCTTGGTGGTTAAGAATATGTCGTAATAGGACATTTCTTCCCTTTCTGTCCACGAATGATGGTCGATTCAACTCGGCTTTCAGGAATGTGTTGATCGATCCAACTCGGCTTTCAGAGGAATTTGGCGGAATGACGAGCGTCCCTTAAGTTTCTTTCGGCCAGCTTCCAGGAAGGGTGATGATGGTCAACAGCTTGGAACGCGTCCAGCGGTTTCTGTATGCGCCTGGCCGAACTGCCAACCGGAGAAAGAAGGGTGTTAACTCTAAATCGGACCCCCCATTTTCAAAAACAAGCCCAAGGCCACACCCACACTCGAGCACAAGTTTCTCATCATGAATGGACCAATTTTCTGAAGCTTGTAATTAAATAGTGCAGAGAGAGTGAGACCAGCGTCAAGTGACAACTTCACAAGTGAAACCACATGTCCAAATCAGACTGGTTATAAAATATGTAGTCCTTGGACGACCAACTTTTCCCAAACATCCTTGTTGTTCATAGATCAGAGCTTTCTTTCTATGGCTGACCAAGATTAAATGCAAAAAACTTGTTAGCCATCAGATAAGTAAGTTGGTCATAGTCATACCATGATTTGAGAATTGTTATTATTATTTTTTCTCAATCCAAGCAAACAGAATGTGGCTTGGGTGGACGAAGCAGGACCAGCCAAGTGTGCTGAGCCGCAGGACGGCTGACCAAGTTGAGACGGAAAACCTGGTCAAGGGTCAAACCCCCTACAGACATATTTAACTTCTACAAGCCCCCCTCCGCCCGCACTGTAGTCTGTCTCCTGAGAATTTCTACAAACCAACACAGCAAATCAAAAACCACCTACATACCTCAGAATAAGATCACAATAAGAACGATGGCTCGATTCAAACTAGACGTACAGAAGAAACAGCACCGGGAAAGATCCCAGCCCTTGCAGAGAAAGAGACTAGGACTACTAGAGAAACACTCGGACTATGTCCAACGAGCAAAGGATTATAACTCGAAGAAGGATCGACTGCAGAAACTTAGACTCAAGGCTAGCCTCAAGAACCAGGATGAATTTTACTTCAAGATGATCAACTCGAAGACCGTCAAGGGTGTTCACTACAACTTCAATAAGGCTAATACCCCACTCGATAACCAGCTGGTCAAGTTGTTGAAAACTCAAGACTTTAATTATATCAAAACATGTAGAGCAATCGAAGAGAACGTGAGTTTTTTTTCTTACTTTCAATCGAGGTCCTAAACATATTCTCACTTCTTTTTTGGTCTTCCATTATAGAAAATCACCAAACTTAAAGAAAGGTTAGGATCGATGATCATCCGGGTTCAATCTGAAGAGTCCGGTTCATCCTCGGATCTGAAGGAACAAGCGATCCAGCTCATCAACCAAAGTATCACAGCTACTCATGCCAAGAATACCGCCAACTCTGACCAAGGAGGATCAGATCTGGATCACGATGATCATGCGTTAGTCAAGCCAGGGAAGAAGACGATCTTTGTGGATTCGGTTGAAGAGGGTAAAGCATCCGGCGACTTTTTGTTACATTCTTTTCAGCTTTTCATCAAACTGGACCGTTGCTCATATTTTTATTTGATTTTTATCCAGTCAAAAACTTTAGTATCACTTCTTTAGGAAAGAAAACCAAGAAAGATAAAACGCAATCGGCCAGTAAATCTAGCTCAAAGAAAACCAAGGGAAAGTTTACGGAAGAGTTTTCGGATGCCGAAGATCAGCTCACACCAGATCCCGAGGTGAGAGTGATCACCGAGCTAACATTGAAAAGAGAACAGGTTATTGATTTGTTTTCTCCTCGGAATCGTATGATGATATAAATAGAAACACATGAGGAAATTGATGACCGAATTCCAGACGAGATTAACGAGACTAAGAGTATTGCAGACGGCGGAGAGAGAAATGGAGTTGAAGAAATCCTTGATGGGCAAAGGATCGAAGTTCCTCAAGTTCAGATCGTCGACTCAGAAGCCTAAACAGGACGGCTTGGTTAACGGTCGGGATCTGAGTTGGTATGATAAGTTAGACCGGAATCAGATCATCGAGGATGATCTCGAACGCGAACGACTCGAGAAGCTGAATTCGGGTATCAAAACTGGCGCTCAAGTTTGGGTTCGTCTCTCTCTCTCCATCTCTTCTTCCCCTCCTCCCTCGTCCTGCCATTTGTTGACGCCTTTTTTGTTAATTCTTGATTTAGAAATGGAAACAAGAACGTAAAAAATAATCAATCGGTTCTCAGTCATTTCTCTGTTTTTTGTTTTCATGTCAAGTGAACAATACCTTATATGTATTCAAAGTATTTGTAATTTTTGAGGATTGGGATCATGGGTTTTTAAGCTACACCAAACGAGCAAGAAAAAGAGGGCGAGAGAACCAAAGATACACAAAGAAGATTGAATACCCTTAGCACTTCTCACTTGAGTCTGTAAAACAATATCTCAAGTACGCTTCCCAAAAATAAAATCGGGTAACAACTTGATGTGTTTTGGATCCAAGAACTGGAGCTACTCGCAGCAATTTTTAGAACGGATATCCAAGGTCTTAATTCCAAACTTCAGTTGTTGAAGAGAATTGATCCCCAAGTACTTGCTCTCATACCAATACCATTAAAGTATATCATTTAGACTTCAGACTAAAAAAACAGAAATCACAAATAAAGCATTGGGAATCAACACATCAGTTTGGACACCAAAGCAAAGTGATGATTTTTGAGTCACAACATGCATTTTAATTCAAGGAACTGTGGGAATTGATACTTTTTTGTTGTGTGAGAGAGAGACATACAGGATTCAAGGTTTCTGATGAAGAAATTTGACCATTGAACAATTATACATTGTATTCTCTGAGATCAAGGCAATGATATCAATTTTTTCTGTTTGCTTTATAGCTTCGGATTTACAAAACTGGAGGATTTTTGGTTAAAATATATCTCTTAATTTCTAGTTCTTTGGATGCTGATAAACATATCCCGGGTCCTTAAGTTGGTTTCCCATCTGAAATTTATGGACCCAGTGAGCAAACATTCTCACTCAACCCAGTAGGTATCCTCTCTAAAGAACATGACCCAGTCCACACATGTCAGGAATTCACTGTATGACATATCTTTGGTGAATGTTTCTCATGCAGGGCACTCCAACCCTGGGTGACAGCTTGTCAACACTCCTCACCAACTGCCTTGCCAGTGTGACAGAACAAAATTCTGGGTCTCTGTTTCCACTTGTCTGTCTGAATCATATGGTCCAATACAGAGACCCAAATGTGTTGGGACAAGGGTTGAGGTACTATGATTACCAAAGCTTGATATTTGTCACTGTATATTGAAGTATCAGATGGAGTATGCTCACTGGCTGAATCACTGCGGCTCCGAGGACAAGTCCACGTGGTGCGCAAACGGTGATAATCATAGTTGAAACCTAATGTAAATAGATATAGTTACTTTCTCTTTCCACTCGATTGTAACTTTCTTTTTCTCATTCAAGTTTTCACTCAAGATTATCATTTGTCACAACTCGTGCATTTCCACTTACTTGTCGCGGTCTTTCTAGGTGTGATCTATTTCAATCTTCTTCAACTCTCTTTCATCAAGTCTCATTGTTTCATATCTCTTTCTTTTCAGGTTTGCTCCTTGTTGCTCACTCTCCTGTTGGTGGTCATTTGTCTGACCTTAAGTCGGTTCTCAAAGGTGTGTATCAAATAATAATGATTCAAGTTTTCACTCAAGATTATCATTTGTCACAACTCGTGCATTTCCACTCACTCGTCGCGGTCTTTCTAGGTTTGCTCCTTGTTGCTCACTCTCCTGTCGGTGGTCATTTGTCTGACCTTAAGTCGGTTCTCAAAGGTTTGCTCCTTGTTGCTCACTCTCCTGTCGGTGGTCATTTGTCGGACCTTAAGTCGGTTCTCAAAGAACTCGCAACACCTCTCCCGTCCTTCGTCCTTTAGGTTATGAGCCTGCGCTCTCCCTGATTATACAGAAAATCATATCGCTCGCATTAGGATGTCGGAACATAAATCACTTGGGATTCCAACACTGACCAACACATCGTTTGGATCATGGGAACGAGTTATACGGGGCTACTGCATGCAACACTCGTTGATCAAATTCTTAGGCGAAACCGTCGCACCAGCGGATGAAGCTGCACTAGCTATCCACAACAACAATCGCACCAGAACAGCCGGTATACTTACTCAGTTCATGGGCGATGAGAATTTCAATTGACTCAAAGCGACTCAGCCTCCTCTAGACAAAGATGATCCGGCAGTCATCTGGAAGTTCCTTACCAATCGTTATCAAGCTAACACGGTACAAAACAAATCCAAGGTGTACCACGAATACAACATCTTCACATTCAAGAAGGATCTTTTGACCTTCAACAAAGACCTCAATAAACATCTCAGCTTACTCTCGTCGGTAGGCTTTGTCATCGGAGAACCAATCGGCGCCGATGTCAGAGAATCGATCTTTGCCGAGAGCATTGTCGGGAAGCTACCGGTTGAATTTGAAAACACCAAGGAGCTCCTCTGGAACAAACGTCCTCTCACCATTGAAATGGTTCGAAACGCTCTCGAAAACAAAGAGTGCGAATCGACGTCATCGTCTTCTCAGTCGGCACCGATCATCAAAACTGAAGACACCGCACTTACAGCAGGCAAGTCGAGCAACAGCCGCAACTATCCAAGGTGCAAGCCGGGAAAGCACAACCCAGCTACCAGTCACGAAGCAAAGGATTGTCGACAGCTGAAAAAGAAGAAGGCAGCGAAAGTCGCATCCACCGTTGACTCGGACGCAGACGAGACGGACGCATCTCTTCAAACTGAAAATGGTCTACGATGTTTGGCACGATTATCGACGATCTCGTCCGATCCCAGCTCCGCATTTCTTGACAGAGGGGCTTCGGCCCACATGTTCTCAGACAGGTCGGTCTTCATCGACTACATATCCAAGAAGGCTCAAGTCGAGATAGCCGATGGCAACACGCTTGAAGTCGTTGGTCAAGGATTCGTACGAATACTAGCCGAGAACAACGAGGTCATCAAATTGAAGGCCTTACATGTACCGCGACTTAACCGCACTCTGATTAGCCTTTCTCGTCTACTCGAGCATCACTGCAAACTTTGCGACTCCGAATCTAGTGGCCTAGTCGTCATTCGAAACGGTCAAACCATATTCACGGCATCGATT